TTAGAGGTGCTTCAGATCACTCTTTGCTTCTTCTCTGTCAAGGGCATAAACATCACAAGATTCCTGCAAGATTCCACTTTGAAAAGAAATGGCTCAACATGGAAGGAATCAGAAATAGTCACTTCATCTTGGTCTCAACAAGTTACAGGGACCCCTTTTTTTAAACTCAAGGAGAAAGTGAAGAATACTAGAGCTGCCCTTCTCATCTGGAGCTCCAAGTTCAGGTCCAAAAATCAACAATCCATTGATTTGCTCACTAAAAAACTTGAGGTGCTTAGGGAAGATAAAGCTGAAGATTACTGGGAGCAATGGAATGAAACAAGGTCTGAACTCAATGCAGCCCATAAGCAAGAAGAACTTCATTGGCAACAGAGGTCAAAGGTGAAATGGCTCAAGGAAGGTGATTCCAACACCAAGTTTTTCCATGCCTACACACTTCAGAAAAGAAAGCTTAATGCTATCTCAAGGCTCTTAACTCCTTCTGGATCAGTGCTTACATCCCATGAAGACATAGAGAACCACATTTCTGAATTTTACTCTGAGTTATTCACTTCAGAAGGAAGCTGGGATGGAGAGTCTATGATCCACCTTATCCCTCAGACAATCTCAGATGACATGAATCAAATCTTGTTGAAGCCAGTTTCTGAGGAAGAAGTTAGAGCTGCCCTCTTCTCCCTGCCCCCGGAGAAATCCCCAGGTGAAGACGGTATGAATGCTCTCTTTTTCCAACACTTCTGGAACTTGGTAAAAAAGGATGTATTTGATGCTATTCTCAGTTTTTTTTCAATCTGGAGATATCTTAAGGTACTGGAACCACACTATTCTTACTTTCATCCCTAAAGTCCACAATCCTGAAAGCCTATCTCAATTTAGGCCTATCAGCCTTTGTTCTGTCATCTACAAGGTTCTATCAAAGGTCCTTGCACAGAGGCTTAAGCTCTGTTTGCAGGACTGTATCAGCACCCAACAATCAGCTTTTGTGGAGGGCAGGCAGCTAATGGACAACATCATTATAGCTCAGGAGGCATACCATTTTCTAAACAGACACTCCACAGGGAAAAACTTCTTCACGTCTTTGAAACTTGACTTAATGAAAGCCTTTGACAGACTTGAATGGCCATGCTTACAGAGAATCATGCTTCAAATGGGATTCAGTTCAGACTTTGTAAAGCTCATCATGGTATGTGTCACTACTACATCTATCTCCTTCAAAGTTAATGGCAATGTCTGTGGCTATATCACTCCTTCAAGAGGCTTAAGACAGGGGGACCCTTTGTCCCCCTACCTGTTCATCATTGCTGCAGAGCTTCTTTCAGCTCTTCTATCTAATGCTCAATCCCAAGGCCATCTCCATGGAATTAAACTCTCTAGCAATGGACCAGCAATCACTCATCTCCTCTTTGCAGATGATTCTCTGCTCTTCTGCAAGGCTGGAGTGGATCAGGCAATGCAACTCACCTCTCTCTTGGATAAATACAGGCTCTTTACTGGACAGAAGGTCAACTTGCAGAAGTCTGGAATTTTCTTTAGCAGGAATACTCCCTCCAATTTGAGAGATAGCATCTGTAATGTTCTTCAGGGAATTGTTCCTCATAGATCAACAAGATACCTTGGGCTACCTTTGGGTATTGGCAGATCGAAAAAGAAAGCTTTTTACTTCATCTTGTCCTCCATCAGAAATAAGCTTCAAGGCTGGAAGAACAATCTTCTTTCTCCAGCAGGTAAAGAAGTCTTACTCAAATCAATTATTCAAGCACTCCCGGTTTTCTCTATGACCTGTTTTAAACTGCCAGTAGCCATTTGCAAAGAAATTTCTAGGCTGTGTGCAGCCTTTTGGTGGAAATCTGGTGAAAACTCTGAAAGTGGAATTCATTGGAGAAAATGGGACAGACTCACTCTTCCCAAACTCAAAGGAGGCCTGGGCTTTCATGATATAAGCCTTTTTAATGAAGCTCTGATCTGCAAACAGTTATGGAGAATCATCTCCAATCCTGATCTTTTGGTTAGCAAAATCTTAAAGGATAGATATTTTCCCAATGTCTCCATTTTTAAAGCAGAAAGAACTCAAAAAGGATCCTGGTTATGGCATAGTTGGCTTTCTGTGATGCCTACCTTTGCACAGTGCATTAAAACTGAAATCAGGGATGGGAATTCAACCAGGATTGAGGACTATAATTGGGTGCCAAAGTTGAATAAAGCTCATCCTTCCCTCCTTGAGATTGCTAGAGGTCATTTGATATGGGTAAAAGACCTTCTGCTCAGCAATGGAACAGAATGGAATAAATGGTTGGTGGAACAGGTTTTTTCTCCAGAGGAGAGTGCTGCAATTCTCAGCATTAATACTTTGAACCCAGATAGGGCAGATAGGCTTTTTTGGAGTCTTGAACCCAAAGGGCACTTTTCTGTTGCAAGTACTTATAAATATTTGGCTGCTCTTAAGCTTCTGCAAATGGACATTCCAGAGTCCAGTACTAGCAACTTCCCTCCTCATCAGATATTCATGAGATGCTGGCAGTTGAAGATTCAAAGCAAAATCAAACACTTCCTTTGGAAATGCATTTCTGGAACATTACCTTCTGCAGTTAACCTAAGAAGGAAAGGGATTGACATTGATACTACCTGTTCATTGTGTGGAGATATGCCTGAAACAACAGAACACATTTTGTTTTCCTGCCCCAGAGCTAGTAGAATTTGGGAATCCTCTCCAGTTCAATGGGATGGCCTCCAGCACTGCACTTTCTCCTTCAAATATTGGTGGCAACAGGTTAGTTCAATCAAACAGAATGATGTAGTCAAAGATAGAATACAATTGTCTACCTACTTGCTCTGGTGGTTATGGAAGTCCAGGAACCTCTGGATTTTTAAAAGATCAGCCATGCCAGAGCACATAATTATTTCTGTAGCTCTTAAAGATTGGATTGAAGCTTCTTCAGCAGCAGAATCTTGTGATGCTTTCCCTGCTAGTTAGTTTTATATTCTCTTTGTTTGGTTTTGGTGTTTTCTGGTTATTGGAAGTGATGCATTCTAGCTAGGCTTTGAGGCAGTGGATAGATGCATTTCTTCTTTTGTAGATTTGTCTTTGTTTCTTAGTTGTTGAGGCTCTAGATGCTTTGTGTAGCATCTCTCAGTTTT